CCTTCCCCCTCCACCAATAAAAAAAAAAAAAATGTAGAGGAACACATAGGCACATTGTTATCAACTGTGATTTATGGCACTGCATGATAGCAGTCTTTAAGGCCTCCTTAACACGCGAAAAGCCCGGCACGTACAGCTCCGTGCTGCGTGCACGGCCGTATCGGGCAGCACCCAGGAGGACAGGTGCTGCGTGTGATTAGTAGGAGTCCTTCTCTATGGGAGTACGCGGCCATACGCCGCCCTACGCTCACCTCAAGGGCAGGTCCGTACGGGTGTGGGTGTCCTGGCTCGGACGAAGACAGGATCCATCCTGTCAGCGTACGAGTATGGACACCCGCACCGACATGAGCATAGGGCGGCGTACAGCCGCATACTCCCATAGAGAACCACAGGGGCTGCCTACTAATCACACGCAGCACCTGTCCTCCTGGGAGCTGCCCGATACGGCCATGCACGGAGCTGTACATGCCAGCCTTTTCGCATGTTAATGAGGCATAACACTGGTTGTTAAGAGGACATCATGGTGAGGCATGCATTTTTGGCCATTTAACTGTTAAAGCATTTTATTAAAAAGGTAGCCTTTCTTTTTAGAGTGACACTAAACTCCAGAGTTAAACCTTAAAAATACATTCAAGTATCTTAACTATTAACAGAAATGTATCTTGTTTGTGTATCACTCGGCTGTAGATCCTCCAATCATCTCTGAATTGGTGCTGACACTGTCCTTCCTTCTGGAGGGTGGCTACTTTTGTCCCTGTGTATGTGGTAAAGTAGCCACCACTCCAAGCTCACTCCTGTGATGGACTACAATCTCAAGTTTAGTTTACTAATTTGTATATAAGACACGCGCTTAGACATTATAACATTACAGGATGACCTGGATAAAATACATGACAGAAGAGTTGCACTGAAACATATTGGCTGAAAATGGCACTTTTGGCAAAATGCCGAAAGTGCCATCTTTCAGCCATAATTGTGGTGAATGCCTGGTTTCTCTCCTCCCCACTGAGCACTGCTCTGTGTCCCCTCTGAGGAGAGAAACTGTCACAGGAGGCCGAGCGGTGCGGGGGAGGAGAGCGATGTGAGCGGCTGGTGTGTCACAAGAGGCCGGGCTCTCCCTAAAAATATAATAGATAAATTGGATATGATAAAGAACTTTCTAACTGTGGCTAAGATGCCTCTCATAGTGACTTTAATCTTCATATCACATGCATTGATATGTTAGAGTGAATTCAATTGATGCTGGATGTTCAGCCACTGGCAATTTGAATCATTTGAAAACTGTCAATATACTTGATATTTGATTTGATCTCTATTCTTGGGAAGTTCTGCTCTTGTTTGAATACCCTGGGTATTCCCCAGGGTATTCGGATCGGATCGGCTGAGCCAAACCTCCGGCAGGCTACTCGCTGCTGTTCGGCTTATTCCCATAGGGGCCGAAGAGCAGTGAGTGAATAGCCAAATGCAGCCGAGCGGCATTCGGCTCGGCTATTCTGCTCGGTAACTCCGTGGCACCGAGCAGAATAGAAAACCAGTTGAAAAAGTAGAAAAAAAAATAGAAAACAATTGGCTCGGAGCTAGCAGTGACAGCTAGCTCTGCCCAACTGTTTTCTATTGGGCGGGATTAGCTGTCATTACAATGAGAGCTTAGCGGAGCCGGCGGTGATATCAAACTCGGCTCCGCTAAGCTCTCATGACAGTTCAGCATCCCCTGGTTACTAGGTAACCAGGGGATGCTGAACTGTTATTAAAGACTTGGCGGAGCCGCCGTGATATCAGCTGTCAGTAGCAGGCTTTCAGCCAGCCAATGACCGGCCGTTTGGCCAGCTTCGGATTTCACCTCGGCTCAGTTGAGCCAAAGCATATGCCTTCGGTTCGATCGAGCCACACGGCCAACTTCGGGAGCTGTACGGGCTATAGTGAATAACCCGTACAGCAGCCCTTCGGTTCTACTGAACCGAAGGCCTCCCGTAACCAAAGCTAGCTGAAAGATCAGCCGAAGCTACGGCTGGATCCTTTGGCAGCTTTGTGAATAACCCTCTATATGTCCAAATTCTACATAAAATATATTTTATTTCCAAATGTCCTTAGTGTGTATCTTATTTATCTTGTGCTGTGTTTGAGGTATCTTCATCTGTAAGAACAATGGGTTTGGTTTCTTTTCTGTGCTAAGAACACGTTGGCTACTCAGCCGTTTGCTAAGGTCAAATAACAATTTGAATGTCCATTGTTTTTAGCTGGGCTACAGACACTAGGAGTTTTCTCTCTCAAGGTTGAATTAGAAAGATACTTGAATGAAATTTGTCAAACTGGTCCATGACAAATAGAGGTATTGTGTTGTCAATTTGCCATTCATATAGCGACTGTGGTTTTAGTGAGAGGCGGCCATGTACACCTGTTTTTTTTTTTAATGAAAGCTAATCATGATTTTTGCTCACGGACATGTTAAAGTGGAGACCTCCAACTTTCCCCTCAAGAGCTGTTCCACAAAATGGCTGACATATCCCAATGGTTGTGGACTTAGTTCAGAGATACCCTGACAAGTTGTGGACCTGTGAGACTGACAATCTGAGTAGAACTCTCCTTTAGCTTCAGCTGCTTTTCTTGGGCAGCAGGCCTAAGAAGCATGAACTAGGCCTCTGTGGAGATATACCCTCTCCAAGTAGAAGGCCTACAAAGCAAGGACACTCTTCTTACACCTCTCCCACCACATAGGAGGCTAGACTGGACCCTCTGGAATTACATCCTCCCTAGGTAAAGCCCGAGAGGCTAAGACCCACCCAGCAGGAGCCCAGTAGGTGTTGACCGGAAGCTTCAAACAAAATATCCTCTCCAGGCAAAGCCTGGGGAGGGAAGGACCTTTCCAAAAGGTCCTTCCCAAATATGTATACCCTTACCCAACACGCTTCACTGGAATAAACCTTTCAATGATTGATAAAGGCGGAATAAATATTCATAACCCCCTTATATTGTATCCTCTCTCACTCTAACTACTGGAGTACACTCCCCAAAAGCAAGCAGAAGAAAACAATGTCCTGGGCTTAAGAGAAACACAACAAACTCAGATAACCAGATACCAATAACAAACAAGCTCAGGCTGGCTACAGCCTAGCTGGAAACATTACATTTAGATTAGGGACACTCTAAGGCAGGGTCTCTATAAATGCATTATACATATTAAAGTTTACATATGTATTTATCTACATAGTTCACTTAAATGAAAAGAAAGACACTAAAGCAATCTTATTAACAATGGCGATTTGATAAAGCAGGGGGCATGAAGATGGAGAAGAATGGCACCACACCCTGGATTAATTGGACCACAAAAAAACATAAAAAACAACTTGGGGATTTTGAGGTGCCAAGAACTGAATGACAATATGTAGCTAAAATTAAATTTTTTATTAATATGAATATACATTAAAATGTTTGTAAAAACAAAACTTGCCATGTGTCCATTTTGTTTGTTGCGATCAAATATATAGTAATGACATACACAGTTGACTATATTAATGAAACAAATAATGTACTTAATTGTACAGAGCGATAACGCGTTTCGCGGTATCGCTTCCTCAGGAGTCCTGACAGTTCATGGCTCTTAGATCATCCAACAACCACAAATCACGGGAGCAGAGGGATGGGAGAGAAGAGATAGTAAGGCGAAGGTAGAACAGTGGAGCTGACAACAATACGCACAGTGTTCCAGCAGGGGCTTTCCGGGGAAATCAAATAAACAGGGACCAACTTTGTATCCAGTGTTCGAATACAGACTCTCCGAGTAGAATTACAGCCATTTAGACAGTTCAGAGTCACCATTTGGTTGTTGAATACAACTTCCCCACTCCCACAGAGTGTTGATCAAATAGGTGTACTCTTTTTGTATTGTATGTGGGTCCTGCCAGCAATGGAGTCCGCAAGCATCCACCTCCCTCCAGCTGGAAAAATGATCTGATTCATCTACATAGTTCACTTAAATGAAAAGAAAGACCCGAAAGCAATCTTAGCCCACACATGTTGACCAATAAGCTTTTTTAAGCCTTCCATTATTTCCTTGTTTCGTAAGCTGTATATGATTGGATTAATAAATGGTGTTAACACTATGTATATCAGAGATTTGAACTTGTTTTCATTGTGGGAATTGTCACCTGATGGCATTGCATATATAGCAATCAAAGTCCCATAATATAAGCAAACAATGAGCAAGTGTGAACTGCAGGTTGAGAAAGCTTTTTTCCTTACAATGACAGAAGACATTTTTAGGATGTTAACAAAGATGCATGTATATGACCCAATAACAAACAAAAAAGGGAAAAATATTGTAAGGCAGCATATCACAAAATCAATCCAGACAATAATGAACGTATCTGACGTTGCAATCTGAAGAATTGGAGCAATATCACAAAAGAAATGATCAATATAATTTGAGTTGCAATACTGCAATTGATACAGAAAGATGGTTTCACATGAAATAAGGATGTAGGAGAAGATCCAGGAGAAGCAGACAAGGTAGTTACAGGTTTTAGTGGTCATGAGAGCAAAATAGTGTAAGGGGTCACAGATGGCAACATAGCGATCATATGCCATAACTGTCAGTAGGAAAGACTGTATGAATGCCAGGAAGCTGTGTACATAGTACTGGAAAATACATGCAGTTATAGATAAGTGACTTAGCCCCCACAATATGACATGTAGCAATGCTGGTACAATGTTTGAAGTGAACAAGACATCAACTACTGAAAGATGTTTAAGAAAAAAATACATGGGATGCTTGAGGTGGTAGCTAACTGATATCAATGTAATGATCAAAAGATTTCCTACCAAGATAACTATATATATTAGAAGGACAACACAGAAGAACACTATATTATATTTATTAAGGTTTTGGAATCCATGGAGAACAACTTCACTGACTCTGGTGTTATTAGCCTCACACATGATCCTTAGACAGCATATACTTTTGTACCCTGTATGGATATAGAAGATTGTTGTCAAATACTAAGAAACATGAGGAACAACCCCCCCCCCCCAAAAAAAAGAGCACTTCAATAGAATATAGCAGTCATGAGCCACTATGTGCTCCTTCATGTAGGCTGAGAAAGAGTTAGTCTATTACCTACCTTACCTAAAGTAGATGTAAACCCTAACTGAATTGCATTTAGTTTGATAAAGTGGTGTGTATCAATTGCCATTTTGTAAAATAAAAAACTTTTTTTTTCACCTTTATTACACCTCAGTGCTGCCGATCTCCTGCAGCCTTTTCACAGCAACGTCCTGAATGGCATTTCTTTTCACAGCAGTGGCTGAATGGCATTTCTTGACCCTGATAATATCCAAAGGTGACAACAGTGGACCATATCTGTGTAATATTTTATTACAGGTATTTATATAGCCCCAACAATTTACACAGTGCTTTTACATAGCGTACATTCACATCCGTCCCTGCCCTCAAGGAGCTCAGGGCCAATTAAGATTCCAGCATGTCTTTGGAGTGTGGGAGAAAACCAGAGTACCTCTAGGAAACCCATGCAAGCACAGGGAAAACAGGCAAACTCTTTGGAGAGAATGACCTGGTCGGGATTTGAACTAGGGACCCCAGTGCCGCAAGGCAGAAGCACTAACCACTACGCCATTGTGCTGCCCAGATAAGTGTTGAAGATACCATATGAAGGCTTCATTGGGGCATGTGTGCAAGGGTGACGACACAGGAGCACAATTGAAAAACAGGAACAGAAAACAGAAGAGTGCCAGACCAAAATAGATGTTAGAGTCCATAAAAAAAAAAAAGTTTGACATGTTTTGGGGGCAGATAAAGCCCCTTTCATCAGGGCTTGGAAAGGAGGAGAATGAAAAAGCAAAATCACTGCCTGCAATTTACAATTTTGGGGAGGAATGCCCATAGCTGCAATAAGATCTATATTCTGAGTTTTTTCCATTCACAGTCCATTCCTTCATTCTCATTGTGAAACTGATTTTTTTTTCTTTTAGAATTATCTTGGCTTACATACAGCACCAGCACCCCAATCTGATCCTTTCCATTAAAAATGCATTTTTCAAGTAGTCTTAGTAGCAACACATACTTTTCCATTAAAACAGTCAAGGACCTGCTTTGACTGGCAGATAGAAATTGGCCAGTAGTTTGCTAAATGTGTCTCTGTACTTGCTGATGCAAAAATGGCCAATTTCTATCAAGCTCCCATGAAGAATTAAGAGTCTGCAGATGATCCATCAGTGTAAAATTGGCCAGCAGCAGGACATTTTTAATAAGCAAAAATTCGCTGAAATGTATTCGAGAAAAAAACAGTGCAAGCAAGTGTTATACTACTAAAATAAAAAAAACTTACATGGTGCACGGCTATACACAAATTTATTAGAGACAGAACACAGGCTTTGGGCTTCACTACAACAATTTAAATACTGCAGAGGATAGAGCAGTATAAAATTGACCAGCAGAAGGACAGTTTTTCAACAGAATTAATAGGCCTAACCAGTGCATGCCTAACTTTTATTTAATCTATGTGGATACGGGAGGGGGTAGTTGTGTGCTAGAAAAGGGGATCACAGAGCAACCATAAGGTCACTGTATTAGAAGAATGAAGTGAGTTAGGAAACTGCCCTTTTATTTTGATTATTATTAGTGGTTGCTTTGAGGTCAGCAGTCACTTTTAGCTTCCGTCCCTTCTATAACAAACATTTATTTTGTGCTGCAAGCTTTCCGTTAAACATTTTGTTTAAGGGGCAGTATTTGGGGGGTCATTTTATTTTGGGGCTATATTGGTTTTTATTTTATGTTGGTAGGTCCTTTTATTTTAGGTGGAATTGCTTCTTTTTGGGGGGGTTTAATGCACTTTGTGTTGCCACAGTAGAGATTTTCCATAATTTCCTGTTCAGGCAGTGAGGGGAACATTCCTCAATGGGGACACAGACCTTAATAAAAACATGACTGGGGTTCTTTGCCTTTCCCACTTTATCCACAACTAACAGTTATCCAAAAAATGCCAGGTGTTTTTTGCCTTTCCCACTCTATCCAAAACTAACAACTATCCAAAAAACGTTTTAATTTGAGTTGGGCTTCAATATATAACAATAGCATTTTTTCTCTCAGAAAGGGTCAAATACATTTTCCTGTAAATGTTCAAATGAGATTTTGTGGCAAATGTTTGTAGCCCTTGGACCTAAATCTTTATTCTTATATTCTTCAAATTCCTTTAAATACAGGATAAGAAGGTAGTATGTGGTACCCAAAATAACCTCACCAGTTTTTATATTTTTAGAAACAAACTTAAAAAAACAAAATACCAGGAAAACACTTTTACCAGTACTCAGAAACCTTATTTCACTTGAACAGCAAATTGTTTTGTTGTTACTGTTCAAAATCTTACTACAATATCATATGTGTGTATGATATTAGAACATAATCTAAACTCTGTTCAAAGCAGTAGGAAGATCTGATCTTGAATTTGCATTTCAGTTTTGGCCACTAATTAACAAAAAGGTTGTTGTGGAACTGGAGGGAATACAGAGAAAGACAGCTAAATTATTAAAGGAGATGCAGGACCTTACCTACAGGAAAAGATGAACTGTATTTTTTCTCCCTTGATCCCTCCATACAAGGTCCATACAGTAAGCTTGGTGCAAAGTTAGAGGGAGTATCTGATTGCCAATGCCTTGGAGGATCCAGATTTTTTTTCCTTTTAAATCAAATTGGACTATGCTTTATAAGGATTTTTCTTTCATCTAGATCAGTGGTCACCAACTGGTGGTCGGTGGACCACTGGTGGTCCCTGAGAAAATGTTGGTGGTCCCTGGGCCCTCCACCAAACTGCCACCCCTGCAGGCACACCCGCACCTATGTATGTATGTATGTGTATATATGCTGTATGTATATATAGATATATTCTCTTTTTTTTTTATATATATATATATATATATATATACACACACATATGAGAATATATTTATATATGAGGACACAAAGAATATGAGAATTAGGGTTGCACAGATACCAAGTACAGTACTCGGTACAAGTATGAATAGAAGTACCGATACTTTTGAGCTCCAAGACTACACTAGAGAAAAATTCAGAAGTTAGGAAGCAGCTGTCATTTGTAAGTAGCACACGGAGCTCCTGGCATTTGTACATCTCTGTTTTAATGTACAATTTTGTTTTTATAAATATAAATAAACGGATGCACAGATACCAGTTTTGCGAGTACGAGTACTGGTACTTGCCGAGTACTTACAAGTACGAGTACTGATACATTTTTGTTTATTGTCATGTGACAGTTTTTCTAAAACAATACAGACTAATGATTTCAGGACAGTGGTGGAGTGCCAGAGCCAGGTCCCAGCTGCAACCGCTGCCACCCTGGTAGTTCTCATGAAAATGCCAAGTATCTGCACTGTTACTCGAAAAGTATTGGTGCATCCCTAATGAGAATATATATATGTTTTTAAAAAATTCATATTAGTGGTCCGCGGGATTTAAAAGGTTGGCGACCGCTGATCTAGATCATCCTGACCAGGTTTTTACTTTTATTAAGTTTTGATTGGCATTTTTTTAGCCTGACTATGTCTTTTGTGTAATTGTCCTTGATAGGCAGCCAAACGGCCAACTAAAGTAGCATGTATGGCAGGCTGACAACACTGCTGCTAATTGCAAGGCAGTGGCTCAGCGTTGTCAGTCTGCAACAGGAAGTACTGTAATTGGCAGGATCTCCAGGTAAAAAAAACTTTGCAATAGATTCACAAAAATATGATTTGCGTAAAGGAGAACTATGGGGTTAGGGCTTTTCCCCATGGTTCTCCTAAGGGTAACGGTAGGACACAAGCTCAGTATACTGCGAGCTACATCTTTCAATATACTGAGACGCCGCAGCCGGAACAGATCCCGACAATTCTGTCTGGATCCACCCAGCTGCGTGAGTGACAGCTGGCTCTGACTATCTAGATCCTGTCAGCACTAGAGGATTGGATAAGGGAGGGGTAAGGAATCCCTGCAGGGAGCCGTGAGTGACAGTCACGGCTCTCTGCAAGGATAGATCGAGAAGTGAGCGAGCGCCGGTATGTGGTCGCTCACTTCCTGATCTACTGAGCCGACCTGTGACAGTCTCATTGTCACAGGTCGACTGAGATTATGAGGCTGAGTGAAAATCATACACAGCAAGGCATTATCCTGACCTAAACATACTAAAAAATAGATTTAGGGTTTGCATACACTTTAAATTCGTACACTTTCATTTGTTTATATGTGTATTCCAAATTCACTTACCATTTATAACTAGATCACCAAGCTCAGATGAGGAGATCAATAGAATAAAACATGTTCGCTATCCAAATACATGTTTTACATAAGATAAAAAAAACTTCCCAATATAATACATGTGTAAATATACATAGAATATGTGACAATAATTAGCTGTACTGATGGCACAGATCGTACAGAGTGATGAGTTGTGATCTCCTGACAGTTACTTGGTGACTCTGCTGAGGTTTTATATCTTGATATGGTACAACTGGGAGAAACTCTCATGAGTATACACATCTGGGAAAAACATTATAGGGCTTATTGAAGGGATAAAAAGAGTGCAATAATGGCTGTTAAATAA